CTGCTCCAGGGTCCCAGTCACAATATCAATTGCCCTCACTTGGGCCATCAGAGCTGTGAAAATAATACCTTCTCTGAAAATTTTTTATCTAGTTCACACACACACCACAGAGCCCCATCTTAATGGCCATGATTCATCTGTCTGCAGTGGAAGCTAGAGCAGCATGGTCTTTACGGAAACACTTACAGTAGCTCCTCTGACACTTCTAATCAGAACATGTGACACACTACACTGTATATTAACCTGCACATTGCTTAGAAGAGTGATGCCTCTTCTGAAATACATAATGTTATCACATATAGAGAAGCTATTCAGATCCTGAAAAGCAAACTAAGAGTGAGTGTTCTGTTTTTAAAAGACAGAAAATAAGCAGAGGATGGTGGGCGAGAGAACAGGGCCTTTCCAAGAACACAGGTGAGGGGAACTCACATTCTCAAGCTCCGGGGGATCAGAGCATTGGCCAAGGTGCCTAGCCCGGTGTTCTGTTCCTTCTTACTTCCTGCCCACCAGGCTGACCTCTTAAGTCCTCTTTTCTGGGAGAACGTTCAGTGCTCATTTCCCTGGCCTGGGTTCTGTTTGCCTCTTCTGATGTCACTTCTTGGCTCACTGTTCCCCAGAGACTGCTTGGCCCAACTCCCACTCCTTGTCTCTAGATTTACTCAGACTCCGTGTGGGGTTGGCTGCTTAGTTCAAATGACAGCTGGACGAAGATGGAAAACTGAAGTCTTAGGCACCAGCTCAGCCACTCTGCTCCTCACCTAGGAAATTCTGATTTCTCTCTCCCTAAATCAAGCCAATGTTTGTTCATCAAACCCCTGATTATCTAGGGTATTAGGAACCCCCCTCAAAAAAAAAAAAACAGTTTCTGGAGGTACTTCACCAGTGAAAATCAGTTAAGTGTGATCTAAAAACCCCAGCTACTTTATCAGAAGCTGGAGAATTAGATATTAAATTCTGCATACTATAAGGATACTCATTTTAAGATAAAAACTTGAGCACTTTTTTTAAGCTATGAGAATACCATCTCCTTTACAGATTTCTTCTTTTTTTTTTAAATAGTATTGTTTGTATTCAGGCTACTGTCTTACTCTCTACTACATCTGAATCTCACTGACCCCTGCGGCTTTTGGAGGTTTTCATGTTCTCCTCTCATTGCTTGGGCTGACCTTCCTCGAACATTGCCAAGGTTAGTCCTTGAAGAAGGCGGTTAAAAAAAAAGTGAAGCAGGATTCCATATAATTCCTAAAGAAAAGAGGGCAGTGTTGGAGTGGGGAAAAATAAGGATTGTCTTAGATGCTCTCTTTGCTCTTACATCAGGATCTCGGTGAATTGTCAACTCTTATCTATTGGATCATGGATTACCTGCACATTTTTATAAAAGGTTGCCTAAAAAGAAATTGATAACAAGAAATCTTAACATGCCTAAAAAGGATGGCAGTAGACTGTGATATTTGCTTTTAGTTACTCCTAGTGGGCAGGAGTAAGAGTGTCACTCATCAGCTTCTTAGGTGGCTGCCTGTAAGAAACCCCTGCAGAAGCCTGTAAGGGCAAGAACCGGTGCAGCAGTCACACCCTCACTCGCATTAACTTGCTCCACATTCTCTCATCTGTGGAAAATTAAGCCTCTTGAAAAGCCTGGAGGAATATGCCTTTTTATTTCCAGGGATCTCATAGGCTTTTTCTGCTTACTACTCAGTGTTGCTAACCTGTTTCTTAAGTTTTTGTATTTACATTGACCTGCGCGGTGCAGCTCTACAACACACGGCCACACTGTACAGCCACAGGTCTGTCTGAAGACTTCCCTGGGTGTAGTGACAGGGCATAAAGACTCCATTATGCTCCTAGAACATCCTAAATGAAAAGAGTTAATTAAGTGTCATTCTTATAGAAGAAAATCATTGGAAATGTTAGCATGCTTGGATTATATTTAATTGCTGAGATTGATGCCTAGAAAACTCCTAATTTTGCTGTTTTAGAAGGAAGAACAACTTGTTTCTTTACTACAAATGTAGCTGCCAAGATCTATATGGCAGAATTTAAAGCTGAATGTTTAGTTAAATCCTACCCAGCAAGATTACAAAGAAGAAATTGGACAAAAGAAGGAGGCATTTTGGGGGCGGCTAAGCGAGAATGTAGAAAGTCCATCATTGTACTGATGTTCAGAATGGCTCGCCCATATGGTTGGTGTGTTTGACATGTTCACAGCGGGGCCATTATTCGTATGTCTCACTGTGGGGCGGCTCGGAACCACTGGTGACTCAAGCCAGCAGGAATGTGTTAAAGCTGTTCTGCCCAGAAGCAACAAGAGAAATTAAATGGTCTCCCAAATTATTGTTTTATTTCACAGCATGTAAGCTCGATCTCCTTGATCAAAGGTACTGAGGTAACTTACCACTCTAGCCAGCAACAGCAGCCACTGTAGTGCCTTTAAAACTAGAAAATGAAAAGAAGGAACAAGGGGCTGATATCTTAAGAGTATATTTCCTCATAGTTGTCACATTTAATTCTTACCAGTAGAATCAGTGGTAACATCCCCAAGGTCTCATGTCTAGATAATGTCAGGGATGAAATGAGAACTCGGGGCCAGCCAAGGCCATCACACTGAGAAAATTGAACAAACCAGTTTAGCTTACTTTATTGAGCATTTATTATGCCCTGGCCCCGAGGGCACTAAGGATATAACTGATAATAAGATAGAGGGTGTATCACAGCTAAGACATTTTAGGGAGCCCTCATACCAATATTATTTTTTAAATATATATGTTGCTGTTCTGGATGGCACATACCTGTATTCCCAGCTACTCAGGAGGCCGAGGCAGGAGAATTGTAGGTCCATTGCCATCCTGGAAACTTAATAAGACCCTGTCTCAAAATAAGACATAGAAAGGGCTAGGGATATATAGCTCAGTGCTAGAGCACTTGGGTTCAGTTACTGGTATTACCACAGATGTGGGAGGGAGGGTATCATCTTACCAAAACTCGTTTCTTTCTGGAAGCCTCCTCCTCTGGAGCCCAGGAGTTAGCGCTGTTATCTCCGTAGCACATACCCGCATGTTTTCCTTCGTGTTCCAGGCCAGCTCATCTCCCTCGCTATGGTCACAGTGCTCTTCCGGCTGGTTTGGCTTCTTCCTCCATGCCTCCTGCACAGGGCTTTGCACACAGTGGCCTTTTAAATACAGCAGCCTCTTGTCATTTTCCAGTATGAAGCTTAGTCTCTATTATTCACCATTATCTGATATGTCAGTAGGTGCCATTTTCCTGGGCTGTGAATTTTAATTCATCCGGATACTGTAAGGTTGATCTTGCCACAGAGCTGTTGTGTGGTCGTAGCCCACAGCTCATCTTCTCAGTCTTACTCTGATACTCTTGAAGCATCTTTATATGTAAAGTAATCCTTGACAGATGAATAAAATTTAGTTTCCTTTTTAAAAAAAGCTTCCAAGTAAGAGGAAGAAACTGTATAGGTAATGTTGATAGTTTGTGACAGTGAGATGCATGTATGACTCACTGGAAATGAGGAATAAAAGTGTAAATGTGGGGCAGGAAAAATGCTCAGAATTATCCTGAATTCCAGATTTATAAATTTCAGGGTTCTCAAAGAATTCCAAGGTATGCAAATTTTAATCATATACCGTATCTTTCCCTAATGATTCCCTCATCCCAAATGGAGCCTATCTCCACACTCTAAAATGTGTGTTTAGTCTGGTGGTGCCTAACCACTGGTTCAGTCCTTGAGTCACTTGGGGCCTCATTACAGATACAGCGGGAAGGCTCTGCTCCGGCCCTCATGCTGGAGGCTCCAGGACTTAGGCTAGGATGGGTGCATTTGTGTACATTTTGAAAAAAAGTGCCAAATTATTCTTGTGCATGTAACCCCTGATTAAAGAGGGGTTCTGTGTGGGAGGCCACCTTTTAGATGCACAGTCACGCTGTTCTTCCCGGGACAGCTTAGGAGTGTGGACCCCCAGGCCACCGTGCTGACTGACACACCAGAGGCTTCAGGACCGTTCAAGGCTTTGGCGAAGTAGTGCTGTTGCAGAACTCCTCAGTGGTTCCAGGGTTCATTGTGCATTTTGTAGGTTACTGGACCCTGCTTCTTTTCTTTCTCTGTCATCTGTCCTTGAAGATGTTGTGTTTTTTTTTGTTTTGTTTTGTTTTTTGGTACAGGGTTCGAACTTGGGACCCTGAGCTTGCCAGTCAGGCAGTAGAACCACTGAGCTAAATCCCCATCCGATTTTGTTACTCTTTAACACCTCAAAAGAGGAAATAAATACATTCAAATCAATTGTTTGCCCGAATTCTAAGAAATGAAGAGAAAAAAGGAATTAAATAATATAAGTGGTTATACTTTTTGTTGTTTGTTTACAGTGACCAAATTTACAGTTTGCATCTGTGAAACTTCTTTCTTCTAGGGGCTCACAATGCTTTATTTTGTCAATTTACTAGCATCCTAGGAACTGGGATGGGACTTTGCCTCCTTCCCCCGGTTCTCTCATCTTCCCCCATTAGTGTAAAACTGGGAGAAGCCAGGCACTGTCCTGACTTTCATGTTTGTAAATTGCAGTATTTACTCAGGGAAGGCTCAGTGCTCGAGGGATTATGAACTGAAAGAAAATCATACAAACACTGCGGTTGAGAGAGGCTCAGCGTCACATAGAGACATCGAGTCATTCCTAGAACACAGGCTTGCCTGGCTAGTTGGGACAGCGAGGAGGAGGTTAATGTCGATCATTTTGCATTTTGCTGGCTTCTGGTTTTAAAACATGTTGTCACAAAAGCCTCAAATCTGTTGAGTTGTGGAGTATAAAAAAGTATGAACTAAAGCTAAGTAGTCTTTTATACAGTCAGCTGAATTGCTGTTGAATTGCACCATCTCCAGCTGTGAAGCCGAGCTGATTTGAAAAGTTCATTTATAAATGGAAATAAAAATTAGTCCCTTGCTAACACTGTTTTCTCTTCTCTCTTTTTTGTTTTGTTTTGTTTTTGTCTCCTTTCTCTAGCATGAAAGACTTTCTAGGTAAGAACTTTCCCCGTTTTATATGCATGCTTAATATTTGGAGTGAATGTATGTCTAATTAAATTTCATTTTGTTTAATAGTTTAGTGATGTTCCTCACATCCTTTTCTTCCTTTTCATTACCACAACCACTTTAGCATGCCCAACTTCTTTTATCTCCTGTCCAAAGAATGGGATGGCTTCATGTCACCTTTCTGTCACCAAATTCTCTTCTTTTGAATTTACCTTGTATACTTACACTAGATCAGTTTTCCTAAAGCACCAGTACCAGATACTGTGCTAAGCACCAGGGAAACAACATGAATAAGACACTGTCTTTGCCAGCAGTTAGTTTATGAATCACTGAGAAGATCATTTCAGTAGAAAGTGCCTTTTAGAAGTATGGACAGGTAGCCAGGGCTTTAGCTCAGCAGCACAGTGCCTGAAAGGCAAGCACAAGGTCCTGAGTTCAATCCCCTGTACCAAAAATAAAGTATGGACAGTTATTCTGAACACACACACAAAAAGGCACTTACCCTAATCAGATGAGTTGAAGCCTGAATTGAGATTGAGGTACGGTCCTTAATAATGAATCCAGCCAGGGGTGGTGACACCTGTAATCACAGCACTTGGGAGGCTGAGGCAAGAGGATCGCCACAAGTTAAAGACCTGCCTGGGCTACATAGTAAGTTCAAGGCCAGAATGAACTACATAGTGAGACCCTGCCTCAAAAACCAAAAATCACCAGGAATTTAGTTCAATGGCACTGTGCCTACCTCACAAGTGCAAGGTCCTGCGTTCAATCCCCAGGACCAAAAACAAATCCAGCATCATACCTTGTGCCTAAATGGTATTTAGTAGCAGTTTGTCAAATGAATTAAGGACCTAATTTACAATTACTGAAAAACTAAGAAAAGATACCATGTTTGGGGAAGATCCTCTGTAATTTTTCACCTAGTATCAAAAGATACAACATTGATCTTCCTGAGGAAGAAATTAAATAAAAAGTAATAGCAACTATGGAACTGAATGCTTGAATCTTGCTTTTTCCACTATTATTCTGATGGAGAAATTAAGACAAGGATTGGGGGAAGAGGTAGTTATGGGGTAACACAGGACAAAGGTGTCTCTTCATAATTTGCTTGGCAATTGAACTGGTTCTACCTGATTAATATTCGCTAAATTTTATGCATATTCTTCCTCTGCTTGCCCTCTCACCAGGTACCAGCTGAGGATAATTTACTTCTAGCAGAAAATTATGGTTTTATAAAATTTGCTATTACAAAATTGTCAAGTTTAGTTACATAAAATTTTAAATCTCTGCCAATAAGATATGAACACAGACTAAAACTGAAATAGAAAAAACAATTTGTAAGCTATGTTAGATGGTCGTAAAAGTTCTACTGTGTAGGAGGCTTCCCCAACATAACGATGGTTACCCCACTAAACAAAGGCTATAAATTTACAGAAACAAAATGAGTAACCAAAGATATTAAACCTCCTTAATGATTAAAACACATTAAAATGAACAAAATTGGAAAAGATTAGGCCTCAGGAGGGCAGTATATACATGTACCAGCATTCAAAATATATTTAGCTTTTTACCAATAGTTACACTTCTGAGATTTATCCCAAGAAAGTAATTAGTTACACCACGAGCAGACAAGACTTCTCATTGCAGTAGCTAAAAATTTGAAACAACATGTGTCTATCATTTGAGGATTAAATTATCATCCAACCATGGAATGGACTATACAGTTACTTTTTTTTTTTTTTTTTTTTTTTT